ATTTTATCTTTTAAAAACAAATGTGATAATATCTTTATTCAATGATTCATATTTTTAGCAGATTAAAACTAAAAGCTCGCGCAACGCGTAACGCATAAATCTAGTATATATATACGTTTTTAACAAGTACCCGCTTCATATTTTTTTTAAAGAAATTTGCTTCCACGTTTCTAAATGCTTCCGCTCCCGCATATCCGCTTCTGATTTTATGCAGCTTAGATGCAAAGTGACACAATCATCCATGAAATAATTAAATATGGTTGATTCTAGCAAAGCATCAATCCTCTAATAACTCTATTTACACAAGAGAAATTTCAAAAATACCACTTTTCAAAAATGCCAAATTTTCAAAATCTTTGCAAAAATGTTACTTTTTCAAAAATAAAATCATTATATCATTTATGTTTGGGTTAACTATGTTGTATTATGGTTTAATTTTGAGGGTTTAAAGGGTTTTATGGGTCAAAATATTTTTTAGAATTTATAATTTTAAGATTTAGGTTTTAAAAATCCATAATTAGTGGTATTTTGCAAATAAACACTCATAAGTGGTATTCTTGCAAATGTACACACCAAAAGTAGCATTTTTGCAATTGTCCATTTCTCTAAATACTACTAATTTTGTCAAAAATGAATACGTCAGAAAAATTTCTAAGACAATTCAAACAAATGTCATAAAAATACACATGCGTGCTCCGACATTGATAACGTTGAAAGCTCGATCCAATCTGGCGGACTGATCTCATGATAAGAACAAAAAAAATTGATATAATTTTCAATATGAAATTATTTTATTTATATTTGTATGTTTAAGATAAATTTCTCACTAAAATTTAAACTTTTGTTTATTCAGGAGAAAAAAAGATTTACAAAATAAGTTCCATACAATGTGAAGCATACGCGGTGCAATTGGATCCACCATTTTCATGCGAATATCCAACTCTTTCTGCTGAAAATTAAGCTTCATATTGCGAGAAAAAATTGGAACGACACAAAGTTGTATCAAAAATCAAATAACCAAGCTACGACATTTTGAAAAAATTTTACGAGCTATATAACTCTACTTCGAGTAGATCGCATAGCAAAACCAAATGTTCTACGATATGATCTAGAACGCCATAGCAGCAATCAACGACTCCATAAAGTTTATTTTTATATTATACATTACATGTTTCATAGTTTTTTTTTTTTGCATTAAGGATAGTTTTGTCAATATCAGTTTTTTTCTTTTGTATTTTTATTATTTGAAATTTTAATATATTAAAAATAAATTTATAATTGAAACTTTTTTAGTTCTTATATTCAACTTTGTTTAAAATATACCGCCCAAATCCGTCACAGGTTCTCAATTTGAAACCCATGTTATATCGTTGTAGCTTTGTGATGGAACTGCAAGGTTGGTTACATAATATATATCATTGGTCACAAGTGCGGAGTGCCTCACAAAAATTGTTACGTATTTGTGACATTTTTATGCGACCTTTGAAAGTCATCATATTTATGTGTGTGTAAAATGTATAAGAGCAATTTTGTTTATATTGTTTTTAACATACACAATATTATAGTATCACTATTTTCCATGATATTTTATTAATTGAATAAATAAAAAACATAGGTTTTTATTTCTCAATTCGGATCAACTCGTAACCAATTCCAGAATCTCACCGCCACATACAATTGTATTCGGTCTTCCACCGTCACACTCCGGACAACTGCGAACACTCCAGACAACTGCGAAGGATCTTTTATTTGCACCTCGATGCTTTCAGGATTTTTCATTGCATAATTTTTTTATAGCATCACTTAGTGTAGTCATATATCCAATTATAATTTTTTTATAATTATTCACGCCAATTTTTCTAGTATTATTAAAATTTCAATAATTTTTTTTATATAATAATACTTTTTTTTGGGGCAAATTATATATAATAATACTATTTGGCACAACTTCTTACCTAACGAGTTAAAACGACAATTCAACCATATGCATTTAGCATGACCAGTCTACTGCCCAACATGAAGGTTCACAATAAACACAAAATAGGTAACAAGAAACCCTCGATTAGATTTAAGTAATTTGCAGAAAAAAGAATAGATTGCTACAAAACTGAACAACATGAGTGCAAGAAAATGTTTTTAGCACTAGATAATTACAATTTATGTTAGTTTGTCCATATCAATTAAAAAGAGTTGAACCCGTTTAATTACCTTTTTGTCTATATGATTTGAACATTTTCGGAGGCATAAAATTTTCCAACAACATTTTGTTATGTTTTTATGTATATCTTATTTATTAAGTTAGCTTCTTATTTTCTTATACTCATGTAATTTTTATTTTTACTTTTATTTTAAATTCTACATTAACTTATTTTTTTTATATTTTTTGTTTTTGGGTTAAGCATTATTTTGTTCACTGATTTCCAATTTGGTATGGTTTGTACTCGATTTTTTTTGTTTTATGAGATGAGTCTTAGCGATCTTCGACGATTTTGTCTTTCTCTTATCTTGTTGCATTTTGGTTTTATTGGATTGTTCAGTTCATAACCAAAAACTGTTATAGATATGAAGTCTTTAGTTTTGTATCTGGTCTAGCAGCTTCTTTTTCGTTTGATGGTGGTCTCTTTGGCTAATTTTAGATTTCATCCTATTGTCGTTCTTGGTATGAGAACTATGATACCAGGATTAGTTCTATGTTGTTCAATAGATTTTGTAATTGCATTTTAAAGTGTTGTGTTTCAACCGATTTCGAAAAATTGTGTGAAAAACTAGATGTTCTATCCAATAAATTTAAGAAATCAATGAATATTTGATTCGAGAAGTAGTATATATTAGCCATAGTAAGAATTTGTTGCCATTATTTTAGTTTTTGTAGGGCTTTTCGGTTTGTCACTTTCGAAAGGTCTTCAGAAATTAGAATTTTTGCAGATTTCATATATATATATTTTTTTCTGTCTTAATAATGAATTTTTACGGCTTCTGTTTCCCAAAACCGGTTTTTTTCTTCTAAAAAAAAAAACTAGTTTTCAGATAATAACAAACCTTAATTATTCTTACCTTGTGTTGAACTGAAAACTTGTCAGTCACATAAATCAAGTTGAGAATTAATTTCTCTATTTTAAAGTGGAAAATACTATAAATATCCCCCACAATATGTTTTGAGTGGTGTGATTTTTTCACCTTTAATTACCCTCAACCCTTAATAAAATAAAATAAAAAATTTCATCTGCTAATAACAAAATACAATTTTGCAAATTAACCAATGTATTAAAAAAACCCGATTGCAAATACTATTATAAAATCCAGTTCGTTAAATAAGTAAGAGGAACGGTGATCACAGCACCGACACATGTGTGTGCGTCGCAGGCGATAAGTACCCCTTCCCACGATTTTCTTGATTCTCGTTAATCGCTCTTTGCGAACGCACTAAGCAAGGCCCGAGGAAGAGCGATTAAGCAGCGTGACCTATACACAAACACACACAGCGAG